GAAACACACAGACAGAAACACACAGACAGAAACACACACACAGACAGAAACACACACACAGACAGACACACACACACAGACACAAACAGACACAAACAGACACACACAGACACACACGCGCTGAAGTCACTAACGTTGTGTCTTCCTCCAGACCATCCACCGAAATCCTCCATGGTCTCCACAAGCTCATCACACATTCTCTCAGAGAACGCTGGAAACCAGTAGACGTCTGGACAGGGCTGAAACACGCACACACACAACCACACACACTCCAGTTTAACTCCGTAAAGCCTGACATAGAAAATCGTCTCGGTTACGTATGTAACCCTCGTTCCCTGAAGGAGGGAACGGAGACGTCACGTCGTGACTGAAGAAATTGGGATCTCGCTTCGAGAGACCAATCTACTTCGAGTGTAACTAAACGAGCCAATGAACATTGGCATGCAATTACTGCATCCAGCTGCCGCTGATCACAGCGTGAGCATAAAAAGGCAGCCGGTGCAATGCGTACCAGGTTTTCGCTGAGGAGCCAAGCCGGTGACCCGGCCGCTCAGCGGTGGCACAGCAGCCATGGCGACGGGAAGTGACGTATCCGTTCCCTCCTTCAGGGAACGAGGGTTACATACGTAACCAAGACGTTCCCTTTCAGTCAGTCACTACGAGTCACGTCATGACCGACAACTTGTGATTCCCTACCAAAGTGCCCTGTGCGAGCCACCTGCACCCCTTTTTGGTGTAGGCCGGGGCTTGCAACAAGAAGACCATTCACCATTGTCATAGCACTACCCAGTCAGTGAGATTGGATAACACTGGGAAAACGTACCCGTTCCACTTGGAACAGGGACACTGCGGAAGCCCCATCCTTCCAATAGGAGGTTTCGGAAGCACTTACGCATATGAACATCCGTTTAGGTGCATATGGAAAATTGGAGGTGATTGTAACCCTCATGGAATGGCAGAAGTCTGCCGGGGGAAACACGGGCTCAAGGCTATACCGTGGACTTTACACATATGGGATTTCCACTTAGGTCTTTACATATGGAACCCAGCCCTCTACCGGTTCTCAAGGATTCAGCGAGAGAGGGCCTGGCACCGGACGTTCCACCACGTCTGGCTGCCGAGGGGACGGAGGAGCTCGACAGGGCCTACAGTACGGACACTCTGGAGCAGTTTTTGCAAGCCGACACTAACCGGGGCCTCTCAGTGCCTCTACCCATTTGAGGTGAGAACACAGGAGGATACCGGCTCCACACGAAGGCTATACAATCTAGTGAACATGTTGGGGGTCGCCCAGCCCGTAGCTCTACAAATATCTGTCAGCGAGGCGCCACGAGTCAGCGCCCAGGAGGATGCAACAC